TCATATTCTCTGCAATAAATAAATCTGAAATCTAAATAGAAATTATAATTTTTGTTTAATTAATATCGTACGAAGATAGAAGAAGATCAATTTTCGTTAAATAAGTACCCACCCTTCTTAATATGTGGTCTATACATTTCATTGTATACAAAGCATGAACGAGCGCACGATGATTCGCTTTAGTTGAACAAATCGATTAAGGAATTATGAGAAAATCTAACTGTGGTATCATGTGGAACTAAGTACACCTTTAATCACAACACATGAATTGCAGTGAGGCTGATCTACATGTTTCAAATAAATTCTTTCAAAGTCTTCGTCTGCTATTTTATGTATGAGTCATCACACAGATACTCATTCATCGAAGTTTTACACTACACATAAACAGCGTTAAAAACCTTACACGTGAACGAATACAGTTTTTTGCTTTTGATTTCTTTTTCGTCAAACGAAAGTAAGAATAGCGATGTTTCTCAAATATGAAGTATAAGTTGCATATTTGAATATGGAAACAAATAGATATGATTTCAACTGGAAGCGGTATCGTTGAATATCGCTTTCTATTAATTCTTTACATTTTTCTTCGTCTTCTGATCAGCTAGCATTTCTAATCTACCTGTTACTAAAGCCATGAAAAACTGACAAGGAACAAGGTAAGTAATATGTTCACATCGATCTCTGAAAATTGTTTTTTCTCGAATGTCATATGAGAATATATGCAAGAGATGGATAAAACAACCATATGTTTTTCAGTAAAATCTGATCAGTTGATAGACAATTTGGTAATTTTTTCTGAGTTTTATTCTTTTCTTTCTTGTTCGCAATGATATCAACGTGTTTAGTTGTCTTAGCGATGACTCACCGATACGAACGTACACGTAAGTGACTACCAACTATCGTACAACTTTTTTTCGGTGAAGGGAAGGCAATAATAATATCCTCTGTTATCTAAAGTAAATATTTAGCTCGACTTCTATAACGAAAGGTTGTTTTGTAGTAAAATTTATATCGGAAGAAATTTATTGCCGTCAAGTAGGAGAAGAAAGGAATGCAGCACATTGTTTTAAAGGTAGTAGACTATAGAATATTCAACACAACTATTTGTCCACCAAGAGTCAATTGAAATGCCGACAGGGTCTACGACTAACAAACCAAGATATTCACACTCATTATGAACTAACAGAGGTCACATATTCTGAAACCGTTGTGAATCCGAAGTTATTTCTTCTAGATCAATGATGCTTCGACGATTGTCTCATATCTCAGATACTAGTAGTCATCAACATTCTCATCAAGCTGAACTACTAGAAAACACAGAAGATTTTCAAATAGTTTGGCTCGATGCCCGAATCGATGGTAGTCCCGATTCTCTTACCACCAGAACAATCCTATTAGAACTAAATGCGGCAGCGCAGTTCTTTCAGACCTTGGAAATGTGTGAGAGCTTTATCCAAACAACACACGAGAAGAAAATTTTACTCATCATTTCCGGTGAATATGCACGACAAGGCCTGATCAAACTAGCTTGCATACGTTCTGTCCGTGCAATATTTATTTTTTGTCATAATCAATCGAAATATCATGATATCGCCGGTCAACATCCCAAAATCATAGGCATCTTTGAGACTCACAAGAGTCTACTGAAATCCATTCAGAAGACGATGCATCGTTTGGAGAAACAATCGTATGTGTTTAATTTATTTAATCAAAAACAAAAATCAACAACAGACCTGTCCCGAGAAGGCGCTGCCTTCATGTGGCATCAACTTCTTATTCATGTTCTTCGACAGATGATAAACGATGAGCATGCGAAAAGTGATATGCTTAAAAACTGTCTCGATTACTATCAACATAGTAAAAAAGAACTAGCTAATATCGAGCGATTTCAGTCGTCATACTCGTGCGATGAAGCGATTTACTGGTATACGAAGGATTCATTCATATATCGATTACTTAATAAAGCGTTTCGAACGGAGAATATCGAATTAATCTATGCTTTCCGATATTTCATTATCGATCTGTGCGCTCAGTTAGAGACAGAAAGCTTGAAATCGAAAGACAAAGGTGCTTTAACAGTTTATCGTGGACAACAAATTCCCAATGAAGAATTCGCGAAACTACAACAAAGTATTGGTAAACTCATTGCGGCCAATGGATTCTTCTCGGCATCACGAGAGAAAGAAGTTTCGATTATTTACGCCGGAGAAAGTTCGGATGAAATGACAGCTGTCCTATTCGAAATCCAAGCTGACCCATCGTTACGATCAATTACTCTAGCAGATATTCATCAAATCAGTGAGTTCACGGAAGAACAAGAAGTGCTCTTCTCCCTTGGTGCAACATTTCACATTGATTCGATCGTGTTCGATGCTGAGTTAAGTCTCTGGAAAGTACAACTGAAGAGCACTGATGACGGATGGGAGCGCGTTCAAGAGTATATGCAATTAGCCGAAGACGAAATGAAAGATACAAGTCCGATGATTTACTTCGGTAGTCTTCTTCTGCATGAACTTGGACAGGTGGAACAGGCTAAGAAATACTTTCAAGTGCTTCTTAAAACACTTCCATCTGACCATGTAGATATTTCATCATTGAAAATTGGTCTCGGTCATATACATATCAAACGAGGTGATTATCGCTTAGCATTACAAGAGTACGAACAAGCCTACAAAATTCGACAAGATAACTTGTCAGTTCTCCATCCTCGCATCGCTACTTCGTTGCGCAATTTCGGCAATACGTATCGAGCTATGGGTGATTTTGATCAGGCCCTTTTCTATTTTCGGGAAGCGATGAAAATCAACGAACGAAACTATTTGACTGATCATATTTGTGTAGCTATGACTTTCGAAGAAATCGGTTTGACTTTTCAAGGCAAAGCTCAATGGGAAACTGCTCTGGTCTGGTTCGAAGACGCGCTGGAAATTTTCAAACGCATATTGCCTTCGCGACACCCACAAATTGCTCAATGTCTGGGACATATCGGGAAGTCATATCGATACATGAAACAATTTGATCGTACACTAGAATACTTTCGTCAGGAACTAGAAATGGATGAACAATGTCTGCCGTCGGATCACGGCCATGTTATTAATGATTTATCTCGAATAGTTGATACATATCGAGCAATGCACGCATATGATCAAGGTTTGCAATTCTGCCGAGAAAAACTAGCCGTGTATCGGGAACTCTTCGGTGAAAATCATCCTCGATTTATGAATACTCTCTTACGCATCGTTAGTTTGCTGCTCGAAAAGTCCTCCATCGATGAAGCCTTGCAAGCGTGTCAACATGCCTTAGCGATCGTAACAAATCTCGTACCAGTGAACATTTCGATTACTATTGAATCACTGGAATACATCAGTCATATCTATCAACTTCAAGGCAATTCCAGTGAGAGTGTGAAATATCGGCAACAACAGTTAGCGTACGAGAACAAAATCGATCCAGTAAATTATCGCAACATTGCTCGATTGCTAGTGTGCATTGGAACGACTCAATATCAGATGCGTTACTATCCGGAAGCACTTAATCACTTCGATAAAGCTTTGATGGTCTATGAGAATATGCATCCACACGACAATGACATGATCGACAGTGTTCGCGAGCAGATCATCACCGTCGAAAAAGCACTGAAAAAGTTGGAAAAATTTCGAAAAACTTCTCTGACCAGATTTCCTTCTAGTTCAAGATCAAGATCAAGATCCGGATATCGTTCTACTCCAGATTTTGTATCCGATCAAGATGATAATCTTGTCTCTGACCTAAACCAATTGGATTTGAAAAATCCCAACGAAAAACAGTCGAAATCAAAGCTGGAACAAAAATCTCAGAAAAAGTCGATACGCTTCGGAAACTAAAATCTTTCGCATCTGATTAAAGTGCAATTGAGATAAAGTACTAACTCCGGACTCAATTTCATTCATAGTTCTAAGTGTCCACGCCGAAAAACACTTCTTCATTTTACTCGAAAATAAATTTGTCTTTGCTACCTTCTCCACTGTTAATCATCAATTTCTTCGTGTTTTGGACCTTCACATCCTATGGAACTCCATGATTTGAATTGCAAAGAACACACCTTGTTTCGATAGTTTCGTTTTTCTAGAATACCTGTGTGGGTGTGGGGGCGTGGATGTAGCTGAGGGTATATATATCCTATCTTAATCCACACCCACACTCTCGATAAATATATTACTTCAGATGATCTAGAATAAATTAAAATAAAGTCACATAATAGAATAAAATAAAATAACATAGAGTAATAAAATGAAATGAAATAATCTAAAATAAAATAATATTATATTAGGATTTTTTCATATTGAGTATATAAGAGCCATAAACGACCATGTACGATTTCCGTACATCTCCGTTTTTCTGCGTTAACGGTTGTTAACGACAGAGTATGTTCGATCTGGGATTTTGAAAACGAAAACTTGAATACATTCGATATATGAACCTGCGAAAATCCTATCTAGATCCTAATGATACTTATATTACATTTTTAAAATTTGCAAGGTTTGTTCTTAAAGAGTTCGAGGCGCATAGATATACGCGTGCGTATGAGTATACTATCTATCACACACTCACACCCTTCACTTCTTATAAAAGTCTATCATTTTTTTATGTACATACTTGTTCATATTCTCTTCAACAAATAAATCTGAAATTCCAATAAATCTTGTAGTTTTTATTTAATTAATATCGTATTAAAAATGAAATTGTGTATTTCAATACAGCGCAAAAGTAAAAAACTGACAATATTAAAATTAAATAGAAAATTTTAAGTATGTTTAGTGACTATTTTTAATCGAAATAGTAGCACATGAATTTTATCAAATTGACGCGGTTCTTCAAAGTTTTACTTTACTGTATAGAACGAATCGTTGTTACCATCACCTTGAACATTCCTCATCACAACATATATTTTATTTTGATTAATTAACTATTGGTAAGAAAATTTGCTCATTAAATTTATCATAGAAGATAAATACTTGGATCTCTTTATAAATATGTTACCATAACCACACGAAAAGTTTTAGTCTTTACATACTGGATGAAAGAATATCTTTCTCAATACGTTTATATTATTACATTATTCGTTGTTTTGATAAATGATTAAAGATTTTTTTTCTTATCACACGGATAAAATAAATTCCATGTGCTGTTATAACCTAATCATTCTCGAATTATTGTTCAGCACATATTCAAATTAGAAACTGGACAATATATTTATTTTCAATAAACATACTATTTGATGAAAACAATACAATCAATATTTGATAAGATAAAACCTTCTTTTCTAACATTACCAGTTGAGTTTGTCTATCATACTCTTAACAATGCCATTAATTTCACTACAGAATATTTATAAATGACTAACTTTAATAATTGAACTTTCAATTATCCGATTAATTCAGTCGATTAATATGTTTCAAATACCATTAATTTCAATAAAAGATTACGTTTGTTATGTATTTTTTTATGTACGAGAGTATTATCACTTATAAAATTAATGTGACTTGCATACAAGTAATCAAAAATCAAACAAAACTGTCTTGATATGTATTCATAAATGCATTGCATGATAAAATTTTTATTCTCAATAGTACTGAAATGTAGATATCATTGAACTCATGATTCTTATTATTATGCTTTGATTCAAATGATCGACTAGTTTTTTTCCTCTATGAATAGCTATGTTATTATTGTACTCGAAGTAAATGGTACAATACGCTTTGATCTCTATTGTTTAAAAGTTTAACAAGAAGAATTTTTCATGATAGTGATTGGTTATTCTTTCAATCAACTAGTGAAAATCATGTAGATATTAAGAAAAGGATGTGCGTGTTAGACAACGGCAATACGCACACCCTGACACAAATTCACAATTACACCGACACCCATACCTACCCTCAACTTATAGAGAATATTCTCGTATTTAATGCTAGAAACGTAAACATATCCATACAGACTTTTCATACATGTACATATTATATCTCCCCGAAAAAAATAGTTTTGACTTGAATTTCAAATTTATTGTCACTATAAAGATATATTTTTTAGAAATCAATTATATATTCTGAAAGTCTGTGGAGTTCTCTATCACTCTATATAATTAGATTTCAATTGATCTCTATTCATTATCAAAAAAATTTGAATACAATAAGGCATCCTGATATCTAGATTCCCACAGACTTAGTTTTTACGGTGTCATGAAAATTAGTTTTTAAAATTTCTCACCACTGTAGAATCACGTTTTTCCAAAAGCAACTGTAGATTCTAATAGAGCTGGAAATTCTATTATTCTGTATGTTTCCTTATTTTCTTGAATTCATTTATTAAAAAATAATTTAAACACAATGAGAATATCTTTAATCGACAAGTACTAAAAATCTACATTTTTCGCTGTTTTTTTAAAAACTATAGTTCATGAACAACTAAATTACATAAAAGAAATTGTGCCATAGATAGAGTATGAAATTCTGTATTAGTCTATGGATTATTATATTGTCTTGAATTCATTTTCTATTATCTAATAACGTACGACCACGTCCTTCGCGTTCGATAACATTACTTGTTTCACGAAATAATCGTAAAATATTACGAACAGATTGTCTTGTACAATTAATAGCACAAGCTATTTCATTTGAAGTCATACCTTAATGGAACCCTAACGAAATAATTCGCCATCAATCACCGATAGATAAATGACCACTCATTGCTAATGAATCTGTCACAACTTCAGATTCATTAGTAATGAATGGTCTGTGGGAATCTGGATATGAGGATGCCTCATTGTATTCAAATTTTTTTGATAATGAATAGAGATCAATTGAAATCTAATTATATAGAGTGATAGAGAACTCCACGGGCTTTCAGAATATGTAATTGCTTTCTAAAAAATATGTCTTTACGGCGACAATAAATTTGAAATACAAGGCAAAACTATTTTTTTCCAGTAGGATATATGTGTCTTGTCTTACAGGTCGGCTATATCTGCTACGTTTTCATTACTGACTGAAATGTTCTCTGTACGCGCGTGCGAATAAAAACATACAGTTACTTATCTCTTGTATAAAGAAAATATTTATTTACTAAGAACAACAATTATAATTCTTCTTTTACAATTTCAATCCACTCTTTCACACCTTCAACATCAGGGTGATTTGATGATAATGAAACTTCGAGAATTTCCAAGGCATGTTCGAAATATGAGAGAGCTGTTGAATATTCATTCATGTTATAATATACTCTACCAAGATAGTTGTGAGAATTAGCCAAGTCAGGATGATTTGGTGGTAATGAAACTTTGGTAATGTCTAGAGCACGTTCAAAATAGGAGAGTGCTTTTGAGTATTCTTCCATCTTATCATACATACTACCAATGTTGTTGTATGAAGTAGCCAATGAGGGATCATTTTCAGAAAGAGTATTTTCGTCAATTCCAAGTGTTTTTTCGTAAAATGAAAGTGCTTTCGAGTATTCTCCCATCTCAGAATACATTGAACCAATGTTGTTGTACGAAGTAGCCAATGAAGGATGATTTGCAGGAAGAGTTTTTTCTCGAATTCCAAGTGCTTTTTCGAAGAATGAAAGTGCTTTCGAGTATTCTTCCAAGTTGACATACACATGACCAATGTTGTTGTATGAAGTAGCTAAGTCAGAATGATTTTCAGAAAGAATTTTTTCTTGAATACCGAGTGCTTTTTCGTAAAACGAAAGTGCTTTC